AGAGGAGTTTGTATGAATGCCTTCCAAGACGAGCGTACATTGTCCGGCAGGTAGACGCAAGGTTAGCCACATCTAAAGGTGTCAAATAGTCGGCCACTTGTAACCAGAGTTCGGGTGAGACACTCGCCAAAACCACGGTTCCGTCGGGCAAGGAAGGGTCGTAGGCTTGTGATGTTTGGTTCTCTTCTTCGTCTAAGGTATCCAGTTCTTCGGTGTATGTGAAAGCGTGCATCATATCCGTCAAGTCTTTTCGTTCACCAGTGTCTTTGTCAAGGATGTCGTCAGGCCTTGCTTGCTTTACTGGAGCTCGATGTGCCTTGCTGAGTTTCGCGGCTGGAGCTTTTGTGGGCGGACCTCGCAAAGCTTTCTCACTGAAGTGAGCATCTCGTAACGTTGGTACTGAAGCAGTTCGTGAAGTATCTAGATCATACAAGGGCGCAGCATATTGTTGTTTTCCTTCAGAGGTTCGACGATACTCGGATAGTTGCATGTCAAAAGGTGGCTGCAGGTGATTGTCCCCAGCCACAGGCCCCATTGCCGCGTAAGGGTTGTCGCGCAATGCATGTGGTTGAAGTCGCGTCAACTCATCATACGTTGGAAGGGTTGAATCGCCCATGTTCAGGTTGATGAAACTACCTGAGTCTTGACGTTGGGGATTGGCCACGATGCCCGGATCAAGCCTCCCAGATCCACCTGCGTTGATTGTTGAACCTTTCTTGGACAGCTTCTTTCTTGGCCCAGGCTCTTTGCTTGAGCGCAGGGAGAGTATCCCCCAAAAGCCGCTCTTCTTGGGTTCCACGTTTGCCACGTTTGCCATGTTAGCGGCGGACAATTGGCGCGTGTCGATTGTCCAGACAGATGGGCAGTATTGCGCTTGAGAATCGATGCAGTGACTTTGGTAAAATAACCCGTGATTGTTTTACTTTTGTTATGGAGATGATTCTTTCTATCCAGGTATGTAAGCAGGTGGGAAGGCTGTGAAAAGTGTCACAAGGGTGGATAGTGATCGTCATAGCGCACTTGCAGCGGTTCGCTCCGGTAGGGTTCCGTCCTTATCCGCTGCGCCATTTAGCTGGCGATGCGATCAAGAATACAGTTTGCCATTTCATAAATATAGAGCGCTTCAGATTCGACCTGATCAATCGTGTGGACAATGCAGAGGTTCATGACGCGACCGATGCGCGAAGTGCACAGACCATCAATGGAATGCGGTTGGACCCATGTCGGAAAGCTCGTAGTTGTCGCGTCAGACCTGTCAAGGCACGTGATGTCACAGCTGAATGACAGCTACGCTGTGTACACTGTATATCTGCCAGTATATATTGGTAGACTTCTTACTTTTGGTCAATATTAGTAGGCTTATTTTCTCTGCTATAATACATCAATTTCCACCAGGTAATGATTACGCGTCACTGATATCACTGACAGGTAGTTGGAGCATACGAAGTGAATGTAGGCTGAGTTTCTTATATACATGGAGCACCAGGCACTTTGGTCATTGAAATGACCGCAGGCGGGCTGCTGATACCAAGGGTCAATTCCTCCACCTCCACGTGGAATTCTGGTGTATCTTGTAGTCACGACTTTGAATTGACCGCCATATTCCCCATAGTCCTCCCAATGGCCAGATACCTCTCAGTTTCAGCCCCCAGTCCTTAGAAACCAGCTTCGTGTACTTTTCGATATCGACATGCACCTTGTCGTACACACCAGGGAACGTCTCAGCCCCGTACTTCTTCCGTAGCTTCTCGTGCCACTCGCGGTCAAATTGCGACCAAAATTCTTCTTTGCTGTAATATGTGTGCGCGTATAACCACTTCATTCCGCCCATCTCTCCAAGCGTCTTCTCAAGTGCACGATTCTTGTGAAGGTATTCTTCAGGGTCTTTGGGTCCAAATCCCCACAGGCCAATGTTGAGCATCTGGTCATCTTTGAGTTTACCCTTCGTATGTGGATGCATGGTTGGCTGCTTGCTTTGTTTCAATGGGCAAAGCCATATAGGCCAGATATTGAAGTTTTTGTCGGTATAGTTGATGAATTTTTCTGCGTTTGGGTATGGAACTGCCATGTCTTGAACGATGTAGCGAGTAGCAATGCCAGAAGCGTGCAGTGCGCGGTACAGCATACGTGTATGAAGAAAGTCGTCGAGGAACCAGCGCGTGTACTTGTTAAAAGGAAATCTCATGTAGCTGAAAGCGGACCGGCCAACCCAGAAGCCACCGCGATCATAGCGAAACATGTATTCGGCTAGCGGGATATAATCAACTACTGGTTCATTTGTTGAACGTGTGGCTGCTTGGACATGGAGATAGAACCAGGGATCCCAGGGGTTGCTGAATGTCTGCGGTTTGGTGTTTGGTGGAAGCTCGTCCGTCATCTCACCTGTAATAACAGCACCATGGTCATTCCCAAACAGGACACCATCAACGTAATCATTTTGTTCTCCCTTTTGGCCGTCGGTCTGGTCTCTAACTTCCTTCACAGCCTGTGCCACACTGCGAGTTGGGTAGTAAGTCGTCTTCACGTATTTCTTTGCCTCGATGAGCTTCAGATTAACGAGCGTCGTAACCCCCAGTGTGCCCACCGCACCAGCGGCACCTTGAAATAGATCTTTATTCTCTTTCTCGCTCGCTTTGATCACCTCACCATCTGCCATGACCATTTCTACTTCGTTGATCGTTCGATCGAAGAAGCCATACTTGAAACTACTGCTTTCGCCCGCTGTCCCGGCATATCCACCTCCTACTGTGATTCCAGGAAATTCCATGACCACAGGCGGTACGAGTCCATGCGGTAGTGTCGCTTCCACAAGGCGATCCATTGGGACGTTGGGCTCCACGAGCGCTGTCTTGCCTGATGTATCAACATTGATGACATTGCGGAGAGAGCTGATGTCGACAACGCGTTTTTTAAGATTTGGACGTGTGCTATTGGTGGAGCCATGTGAAATTCGGAATGGCTCTTTGCGTATGAAATACTCCTTGACTTTGGCGGCGACTTCCGCCACCACGCGCTGATGACGGTCCATGGCGGCAGTCTAGACCATATAAAAAATGCTGAAATCTCAGAAAATGTTATGGATACATTGTATCAAGTGATGTATGGAAAGCGAATGAGGTTGAAATAATCGTCGTGGTCGAGAAAGTTGAGGATTTGAAATTCCGCCAAGCTAGACTTCAATGAGTCTAGTGAAGTCAATATCGTGGTCATCAAGACGCGACGTCACGAGACCGCGTTGCATGACTTCCACTGTTGGATCACATGTCTACATAACGATCCATATTTTCCATAGCCTGTCTCTGGATGGATTTGTTGGAGATTGAACTGCTAGACTCATCATGTCACCTCAGATTTCTTATCAGGAAGGTCACATTGCAATCTGCGGGGATCATGTGGCAATTGCAGGAAGGGTAACACCATCGCCTTGACATTACGGCAGCATTGTACAGTTCTACCTTCTAATTGCAACTTTATCAGTTAATTGTAATTGTGTTATTAGGTTTTTCTTCTCCATATTCTGCGGGCAACCGCGGTGCAACCCTTGCTCCAGTGCAATAGACAGTAGTCAATCATTCCACATCAGGATTCTCGATGTGCACAGTACTAAAATCATTAATGTTGACAGAGATACTACACAAGTCCAGGAACCAAATGACTTACATGCATACTGCTTAATGCCTACGAGTCTTTAGAAATGTTTCACTGCGACAAATCTGCTATATTTAGGGGCCACAGCACGTCAGAACATATCTAGACCACCTAGTATTTTAGGATCTATTCTTATTTATTTAACACAAACATTAGAATACATACTAAGCTACCCAACAGCTTGAACATAACGTTACTTTCCTGGCATAGACACTGTGCTTCCACTACAAGGAGCGCTCAAACACGACTCACAGACAGCAAAAGCACTTACCAAAATCTTGATCGTCAGAGTTTAAAGGTACGAGACACACACTTTGGTACAATCACCTCTCTAATCTACTACAGCTGTGACGACTCTATGGAACACCACAACGGAGCATAAAAAGACAAAAAAATTCAAGGCACGGCCCGAAGGTCGTGATACAGGCCCCCCCACGCCCCGTACGATGGTTACCACTCGCGTTCCGATTGCAACCTCTCCCTTATGGAATTTGGTAGATTTACCCTTCCCAGGGATCGAACTTGGGGCCTTTGAACGAAGTTCAGAAGGATGCCAGTCCACTGACCATCAGGGTAAGTGATGGGCAGTGTTTCGATGGATGATAGCTCAGGTATTGGGATTATATGAGTGAGGCAATAGCTATTAACTAAAAGAAAGCAGAAGATGGCAATGGTTTGGGTGGCTGTTGTGGTGGTTAGTGGTGAGTGCGTTTGTCACGGTGAGTGCGTTTGTCACGGTGAGTGCGTTTGTCAGGGTTGGAAAAGGATCATCCAAAACTTAGGCCTATCGACCCTGTACCTATTACTATGCAAACACTTATTAACTTACAAAGTAAGATGTTATCGCTAACATGTGTGAAAGAGTTGCTAGATGTATTAAATAATAACGCGCCAATCTGTATGCTGTCCGTCAACATATCTTCACCCTTTACGCTCTCCGGACCAGATACCTCGCGCGCTCCGACTAGGTATTCAAAGCAACAGCTCCACCAATTTTACCACATATAACAACACCTAGATAGCCACAGACCAACTTCCCTTACTCTTTACGCTCCGTTCGCATCACTGATGGATGGCTATGACCCTGGGCATCCAGCCCGCATCTGGACCAATGAATTACATCCACACACGAGCCAGTCAAAACAAGCTTGCCAGAGAAGATGAGGATCCAAACAGAGGTTGTCAATGGAAGTCGCGTTTGGTTCGACGAGCAATGTGCAGGCCGCTTCGAAAGGTTTCGTCGTCTTTGGAGAGTGAAACACAAGGTCCAGTGGGATTCAGATGGGACTTATTGCGCCACTTGATATTATCGACGGTTCATCTGATGGGCTTTAACTTGATAGCAGATACGAGGAATTCGATATCAAGAGACTTGGGGTAGATAACCTTGAGCACATGGTACCAGGGGATGTGACAGGAACAGCATTTGTAGAACCCGAGTCCAGATATCTCTTACGGTCAACATATATTCATCTACCAGAGAATAGACACTACAGTAGAATACTACTGCAAGCCCCTAGCTGCACTACCGGTAATCGTAGCGTTCACAATCGACATGGCCTGGATGCTACCTTGCCAACCCCACCAACCCCACCACTAACTAGTCTTATCGCGTATCGTGTGCACCTTCCATGTCCGGTATATATGCCCCTCCACGGTATCTGGAGACCGCTTGTTAAGTCAAGCAAATGGCGGAACTGGTCGTAGAGGGCGATCCAACGGCCTCACCCGACGGTGCACATTTCCTCATGACAGAACGCATCTCCCTCAAAGTAATCACACCCCGAGCACAATGGCCAACATCACCGTAGACTCAGCAGTCTCTCAAGACGACCTAGTCATACCCGTCTGTATACGCCTCTCCGCCATAAAGTCCCACCTCTTGCTAACCAACACCAAGCTCATCGACTTCTCCGCCTTCCTCTCCGGCGACCCCAGCGCAAAGAAACAAACCGCCGACGCTGTCCTCAACGGCTTTCAAAACGCAGGCTTCATCTACCTCAAAAACCACGGCATCCCCCCTTCCACCGTCTCCACCGTCTTCTCCCACTCGGCCAAATTCTTCGCGCGCTCCCAGGCGCAAAAAGATGCGCTAGCATGGTACTCGGCCGCCGCGAATCGCGGCTACGTCACCCAAGGGCGCGAAAAACTCGTGGTCCTCGAGCAAACAGGGACAGAGGCCGAGATGCGCAAGATTGTACCCGATTTGAAGGAGAGCATGGAAATTGGGCGCGACGATGAGCCGGAGATGCCAAATAAGTGGCCGAGTGGGGATGAGGAGGCGGTCGAGTTTAAGAAGCAAATGATGGGGTTTTTCGAGACGTGCAAGGGGCTGCATGTGCAGGTTATGCGCGCCATTGCGCTGGGCATGGGTATTGAGGAGAATTGGTTCGATGGGTATACGGACGCCGGGGATAACACGTTGAGATTGCTGCATTACCCAGGAGTATCAAAGTCGATCTTCAAACGGGACGACGGACAATTGCAAGTCAGGGCAGGGGAACACAGCGACTATGGTAAGCAGAGAAAGAATGCCAAAACCAAATCTCCCCCAATTCCATGCCAGGACTACTCCTAATAACCCGGCCCCCAGGTTCCATAACCCTCCTCTTCCAAGACACCCGCGGCGGCCTCCAAGTCCGCTCCCCAAAAGGCACCTTCGTAAACGCGACCCCCATCGCCAACACCATCGTCGTCAACGCCGGCGACCTGCTTGCCCGCTGGTCAAACGACACCATCAAATCCACACTCCACCGCGTTGTCGAGCCGCCCGTGCAGCCAGAGGATGCAGAACGCGACGCCTACCCAGCCCGCTACTCAATTGCCTACTTTTGCAACCCGAATTTCGACCGTGTGATTCGCACGCTGCCGGGTACGTATGGGGCCGAGGGCAGCAAGTATGAGGATGTGGGGAGTCGCGAGTATGTTATGGGCAGGTTGACGGCTACGTATTAGATTGTGGGGCTGTGAATTGGGGCGTTAGGGGTTTGGGGGGGAAGGGCTGGGGGAGTTATCAACTCTGGACTATGAACGACTAACTAGGGGACTCTGCATGTCAAGCTAGCAAAAGGGACGGGTGGTCTTTGAGTGCGTTGCCCATGGTAGGACTATGAGTGTCAATGGTGGTGGGGGAACACACCTTGACGTCATCTAGGAAAGGTCAAGCAAGGACTAAAGAAACCTTGAATATGAACTTTCAGACAGTGCTTGTTGCTACATGGCTTGCATCAAGCACGAGTGTTGAAATCTGCATCATCCTGCCCTGTAAACTTTATCCAGCATGATGGCAATTACATACCAAACTACGGGGTAATAGCAGAGCAACAGGTATCCCACGCTTCTCCAGCGCATTCTCGCCATCAAAATATCTATCCATGCTAAACCACAATGACCTCGGGGATATCCATGACCGCAGCGCCCTGAACTCCAACCGGCCACCCAGAGCTCGTGACCTCCCCCTACCAAAGCGCAGCATCCTTGTCGAACCGCACCAATTCCTTTCCCCCATCCTCAACGTCCTTGCGCGCCTTCATCCTCATGTAGAAAATCGGGCAATCCCTACTGGCGCAAATGACTTCACAATGCACACTGCCCTGGCATCTTTGGCACTGGGTCCAGAGTCGGGCAAATCGGACTTCCAACTCACTGACCTTGGACAGCGTCTTCTGGTACAGTTCGCCAATGCGGGGCCGGCAATTTTCACACACGGCGCCTTCCTTTTCATGTGCAGCGGTGAGGGGCTTCTTGCAGCCCATGCATGTCTGCGTCTTCTTTGCAAATTTCATGAGACCGCCCATGGTGGGCGCAGCGACGGATATGGAGCGCGTGTGTTCGCCTGTCAGTAGCGAATTCGCCTTCTTCTCGCCGAGGATGGGCTCGAAGATACGGCCCAAGGGCTTTGCAAGCTGGTTGTCCAGATAGTAGCGTGTATCAATCGGCAGGTTGTTCTCGAGCACGTAGATGGGGTCTTCAGATTTCTCGAAATTGCGCGCACCGGTGGCAGCTCGCACCATCACGTATGCTACACGATCACCAAGGCCAGGAGCAGACCCTGCATCGCGCTTCTTCATGCGTTCTGCGAGTTCGACGTGGGCTTGCTTGTTAGCATAACCACCTTTTCCTTCTTTATCTTCTTGCTTGGTAAGAGCTTTGGTGATGACGAGATTAGACATGTCGATTTTATTTTGGAGGAGGTCGGAAATGGTCTCCTTGACAAATCTGAGGGGAAATTAGTCATTGTCTTGCTACGTGGGCTCTGTGACTTACTCCTGCGCACCCTCCGGATCCTGGTCGATCAGCAACATGCGCAACGATGTCTCAATGACTGTCTGGACAAGTCGGCAATTGTCGCGACGGACAGTCTCGATACCCTTGGTGTCCATCTTGTCCCATTTGTTTGGGTTGGTCCAGTACAAGCCGGCATAACGCTTCTTGTTGATGAGAAGGTAGGGGAAGTAGACCTTTTCAAACTCGAGCTTGATGGGCTTGATGAATTTCGAAGAGACGTAGTCGGCAGCTTCCTGGCCTAATCTCATGGCTTCCGCAAGCTCTGAAGTTCCAAACTTGACCATCACTGAATCGGTATCGCCGTAAATGACCTCTGCGTCATGACTGTAGCCATTGGCGATGTTGTATTTTGCCTCGACCTCCGCCTTCGTTTTCTCAATCATTTGACGACCAAAACTCGTGGTACTGCTGGCGATGGCGAGACAGGGTAGCTTTCCGTTGGTAGCCCCTGTCAGACCGTAGACCGAGTTGGCGCTGACCTTCAACGCCAATTGACGACCGTTTAGCACAGCCTTCTTGAACGGATCTGTCTCAACGGCTAACTCTCTCTTCGCCTTCTTACGTGCACCCAGCAACTCCTCCAGAATCTGCGTTAGCAACCCCTTTCTGGTCTTTGCAGTACAGAACATATCACCATTCGGGGTGACAATATAGTCCTCGTCCTTTTTCATCTTCAGTTTCTCTACCGTCTGCTTATCGAGCCAGGTTGTATAGCAGAGATTGTGCGCTTGCATGATACTGGGATATAGTGAGGCAAAATCAAGTGTCGCAACAGGCTGCTTGTAGTAACCACGCTTAGGTTCGATGACAGTCGCACCTTCGTACTGATCTGTGCTGTCACCTTGGTTGGGAAGATCAGGTACAATGAGCTGGTGGTCAAGAGCTTTCCGGAAAAGCTGACTGATGAATCGTACTTGTTGACCTCGGGCAAGCAGGTAGTTGAAGGGTACACCAGTGACCCTAGCCATCTCAGTGTAGTTGACCAGACACATGAGCTTGTCGAGAAGTCGTTGCGGCAAATAGGCATCCTTCAAACAGTACACAGCCAATCGTCTTCGCGAATTTGCATCACCATTGAACAGTTCAGTGATCATGCTGTGATGTACATCTTCCTTCTGCTCTTTCAAAAAGTGGGCGCACACAGAGTTGAGAGTATAACTTCGAAGTTGATGATCTCGTTGAATGAGCTGGAGCAAATCGAGTTGTAAACGACCATTTGTGTTCGTCGTCTTTGTGTCCCGATTTCCGAGCTGTTTGCTCGAGAATTTGGAGCTGTCTACCTTGGACTGCACTGTCTTCAAGCGTGACCAGTAGGGGAATCGCGCGAGTTTGAGATGCTTGGCTCGATCGAGAAGGTATGGGAAATCGAAATTGGATGTGTTGTAGCCAATGATGACATCCGGGTCAACTTCTTCAAGAAAGTCGCGCCACTTCATCAGCATCTCACCCTCGTCTTCGTACGAGAGAACCTGAGTTGCCACAATGGGACTCACGGTGTCCAAGCAGAAGACGTTCCTAACAAAAGGCTTATCCTCACCATATCTGGTGACCACGTTCGCGATCTGGATGACAGGGTCGATATCGGCGTCGGGGAAGACACCTTTGCGTCCAGCGCACTCGATATCGAAGGAAAGGATGCGGAGGGGAGCGAGCTTGGCCCATTCGCCTTCTGAAGAATGAGCGATCAGATCGCTGTAGTGCATCTGTGCCTCGATCTGGCAGTTCGAATGGCGATCACGTTGTTCGATCATCCTGTACTTGCCAGCAGGGACTTCCACCCAAGACATACCAGCAACCTGGACAGTCAGCCATGCTCTTTGACATAATTAGAGTCATGCTTACCTTTGTGTCGATCATGAACCTCAGAACGTATGCAATGTTATCAAAGGTCAGGATACCACCGTCGCTAGCTGGCCATAATCGCTTGTAATTGGCGAAGCCCTTCTGGACCAGTGTGCGGACACGGCCTATGTGCTTTGGGTCATTGACGGTGATCTTCAGATATGGGCTTTTCTGGTTGCCCTGAAAGCGCAGGATATTCTCCCTCATGGTCATCTGAACCGAGGCTATGATGGCCGAGTGCTGATTCATTTGTTTCTGACATTCGGCTTCGAGGAAAGTCTTGTATGGCTGGCAGTCGTCCTTATGAAAGTTCATTGGCGCGGCAACATAGAAGTAGTGAAGGAAGCCTGTAACATGGAGAAGAACAGAGTGGCCATCCTGTGAATGTTAGCTAGTCCTTGAATTTGTGTGAAGATCTCCATCCGTACCTCTGTGACACCAAACAACTTGACCGTTGGCCGGCCTCCATTGAGCACACCTTCTTCGGCTTCAATCTGCTGAAACACGAGCTTCTCAGTCAGCTCATTGTAGTCTGCCGGTAGCGGTGGTCGATGCCACTGTTGGTCTCTTTCTGCGTTCTGGCCCTTTAGCGTCTCCATGTCCTGCGTCATCTTCTCCAGCGTCTCTTCAAACTGGCTTGGCGCCGCCTGGCTCGATTTGAAGGAATCATTGGCATTCTTGATTGCGGGTCCATTTCTTGGATTGCCATTGTCCATCTTCAACTTCTTTGCAGAGCGGGGCGATGCCTGGACATTGACACGAGTATTCGACGCCTCAGCGAGAGCGCGCTTCGCCGGTGTCCTTGCAACGGTGACTGACATGTTGAGGGTGTGATTTAAGCCAGACGTTGCGGTGCAAGGTGCGTATATAGAGGGGAGGGGGAGCGATGATGTGTGTTGTAATGTTGCCGAATGGATGCGGAAAGTTCATTCACACGGGAGACGCGAAGGCGCGACCGCGTCATGGACCGTGTCACCCCTGCACGGTGGTACCGCGACGACGTGCTTAATTGATCTCGCGCCACACGAGCATTGATGAAGTAGCAACGAAGAAAGGAGCAACGAAGAACGAAGTCTGCGTTCTATCAGGAGCCAGACGCGACACTCTCTAGTATAGACAGACACTGCACAAACTGCACCATGATCATCATTATGAAATATCGCCAGATGATGCCGCGAAGCAGGTATTGTCCCATCTTGGCCAACATAGGTACCCATTACTTGCTCAGTATAGTACTTAACCCACCGTAAAGACGTATATGCTATTGGCTTCTCATCTCGGACCTCGAGTCCATCCACCCATGATATCCATCGCTTTACGGGGTGCGTAGATCAGCCGTTCTCAACGGCGCGCCTCGGCTTACGCAATCTATCCACATATCGCTTGGCCAGGCATCAATGTTGACCTACAAAACGACCCGACATCTTCTGCCTCCACGATATTCACTAATCCTACCATCACAATACCATTACTATTAAAGACACCTGCAATGTCAGCCTCAAGCAACGACGTCGTCATCTCCCCCGTTGAAACAGAACAAGATGTCATCGACGCAAATCATTGCATCTCTGAAGCCTTTGGGACCCAGACAAAAGATGCCATCTGGATGCTCTTGAATCCCGGCTGGGACACCACCGAAGGCCGTCTCAAGAACGCTCAAAGCTTGATCAAACAATGGAAATCCACCACAACCAACAAAGACGGTCAACCCAATGCCGTCTACCTCAAAGCCACGGTCCCAGATCCCGAGAAGCCCGGTGCACGTAGAGTTGCTGGCATGGCAATTTGGAAGCAGCTATCCTATGTGGAAGGCTACGGTGATGCCTTCACTGGCGATATGACCGAAGCAACGCGAACCCTAGATGAAAAGAATAAGCGGTTCGCCATACAAATGTTCAAATCCTTGTGGAGGCGACGTATTGAATATCTCAAAGAGATTGCCTCGCCCGAGGCAGGCCGCAATCCACCAGCCGTCTTCACTCTGGATCTCTGCGCCGTGGATCCGGCATTTCAGCGGAGAGGAATCGCGGCCAAGTTGGTGGAGTGGGGTCTTGCGGAGGCGAAGAAGAGGGGTGATTTGGAATGCACGACTGAGGGTAGTGCGATGGGGAGAGGAGTGTATAGGAAGCTAGGCTTCAAGGATGAGGGGCATGGTGATGTTGTTTGGGAGGTGGATGATGAGTTCAAGGACTGGGAAAAGCCATCGAATGTGTTCTTGAGGACGCGAGTATGAGTATTGACCACCAACACATCAACAATATGACGGTGTTAAGGATGCCCCATGAGGGGACATGTCAACAAAGAGCGCTCGATTCGAAGCCTGGTGAGCGTCCGAGCTGTTTCTATACGACAGCAGCCAACTCAGAACCCAATAACGTTGAACCACATAGACAGTATGACCAGCTGTATCTCGTGAGACCGTAGTGCGCTCATCTCCGTCACCCGCAATGCATCTTGACCCATGACTCCTTACTGAATGAGGAAGGTGTGATGATGAGCCTGGAGGAGTGGGGCATCCATCTGGAGCTACCCCGCCAAGATAAACAACATATCTCAACAGCATCGCCATCCCCTACCGGTACCATGTCAGTTTATACAGACTGCCCATAGGTATCCAAGGCGCCCTGGAAACTTCCCCTGCACTGCTCTCCATTGTGAAATCCACGGGCACACCCCATCCCAAAACACCCACCATGCCTATCGTCGACATCCACACACATGTCTACCCTCCAAAGTACATGGAACTTCTACGCTCTCGCTCCACAGTCCCCTATGTCCGCACCTTTCCTGACGCTCCAGACTCGGCACGCCTTATCATTCTCCCCGGCGAAGATGACCCTTCCACTCCCTCGACCTCACGCGGTCGCCCCATTGGCCCGGAGTACTACGATATCAAAGAAAAAATCGCCTTTATGGATCTGCACAAAATCGAAAAATCAGTCATCTCCCTTGCCAACCCCTGGCTGGACTTTCTACCCACTGACGAGGCCGGGGCGGCCGCAAAGAGTATCAACGACGATGTCAATGATCAATGCGTGCAGTACCCAGGACGATTGTACTTCTTCGGGACGCTTCCGCTGTCTGCGTCGCCAGAGGTAGTCACGGCGGAGATTGAGAGGCTGAGTAGGTTGAAGTATGCTAGAGGCGTGATCATGGGCACGTCGGGGCTGGGACAGGGCCTGGATGATGCAAAGCTGGACCCTATTTATGCGGCGCTGGAGAAGCACAATCAGCTCATATTCCTGCATCCACACTACGGTCTACCGGCGTCTGTATACGGCCCCCGTGCAAGCGAGTACGGTCACGTCCTTCCGCTCGCTCTGGGTTTCCCCTTGGAAACAACGATTGCAGTTAGCAGAATGCTGCTCAGTGGGGTGTGGGACCGCTTCACTAAACTCAGCGTCTTGCTTGCGCATTCAGGCGGTACCCTGCCCTTCCTGGCCGGCAGACTCGAATCCTGCATCCTGCATGATGGCCATCTCAAAGCGCACGGTAAGACGGAGAGGCGTAGGGACGTGTGGGATGTGCTGAAGACGAACATCTACCTCGACGCAGTCATCTATTCAGAAGTTGGCCTCAAAGCGGCGCTGGGTGCTTCAGGGGCCGATAGACTCATGTTCGGTACGAAATCCCAATCTCCCAATACAATGTCTGAAAAATATATAAAATCACTGCTGACCTCAAGGCTACCATAGGCACTGACCACCCCTTCTTCCCCCCACTAGAAGAAGACGCAAAGGAATGGCACAGCGTCAATGCAAATTACGGCGCCATTGCCAAAGCTTTTGCAAACGACGACAAGAAAGCGCAAGACGTTTTGGGCGCGAATGCAATTCGAATACTGAGATTGGATGCTTGAGTGATGATGTCTAAGCTATACTATACTATACTATCATATACCCGAATGTAGTTCTCTATCGCACCATCATACCATCATTATCATTAGAGAGTCGGTCGAAAGCATATTTCTGATGGAAAAGTAACAGACGTTGAGTTTGATCAGGAGCGATTTGTGTTGTTCAACATTGCCGTTGCGTAGACGCACACTACGGGCGTCAAGGGCGCCTGCAGGTTGATTTGATCATATAGGTGACTACGTTTGGATTCCATGGGTCTGGGCAGTAGTACTTTCAAACAATTGTCTCTTGTGAGAATGGAATCTCATGTCATCGATATATCTCGCTCAAGTGCACACGAAGATCTCGCGTGTGCGCGTCCTCACATATTTACAAAGCTAACAAGGCACAAGCAGCGTCGGACTTTCACAAATCAACCCATCATATCAACAGCAAAAAAGCGGATATAAACACATAAAGCAATATCAGGCCCCCGCACATTGTGCCAATCACGATGCAGCACCCTCTCCCTGGCTCTCTTCTTCCTTGCGTTTATCCTGCTCCCGCGCCAGCTCCGGGTTCAGCGGGTGCTGCGCATCATACCCCACGCGCTTGACAATCCCCAAGCCTTTGGTGCGCCCCTCTCGAAACAAGATGCGATCCCCGACCGTCAGATACTCCGGGCGTTGGACGAAGCGAAACGCAACCTGGGCTCGATCGCCGGTGCGAATGTACTGCCTATCGATATCGATGATTGCGCAAGTCTGCGAAACGGGGCCCACGTGCAGCATCGCCTGATACTTAACCTTGATGGTGGTGGCGTGGGAGAGGATGAGGACTTCAGCAACGAATTCGCGGTAGACTTTGGGGGTGGGGAGGAGGCCAGTTGTGGGATCGGGCTTGTCGGCCTTGTGCAGGACGACCATGCCTTTGCGGACGTCTTTGCGGCGGACGTTGCGCAGGGCCAAACTGGCAGATTGGCCGGCGGAGCAGCCAGGGACTTGGATGCGTTTGCGTTCGATGGAGCGTACTTTTGTGGTTTGGAATTGACCGAGACTATCAGGGCCGATGAGGACGGTGTCGCCCGTGTGGATGATGCCGGATTTGACGACGCCAGAGACTACAGTGCCAACAAAGGGGACGGAAAATGTGTCGTTGACGTGAAATTCGAGTGGGGCGGAACTGTCGTAGTTGCCATGGTGTGGGAGCACATTGAGGAACATGCGGACAAGGTCTAGGTTGTCGCCTGTAACATTTGAGACCTGAAAAATGGGGCATATACGACGAGATACGAATTGGGTTGCCGTATTGATGCATTCTTCTCTATTCTTGATGAAGATGGGTATCTTGCGTGCTCCAGGGGATTTCAAAATTTTAGTGAGTTGCGTGACGGTCTGCTCAAGAATCTGCGGTGGACAGATGTCGATTTTAGTTATGACGACCATTACAGGTACGTTGAGTGCGAGTGCGATTCCGAGATGTTCTCTGATCATAGTCAGTGGATAGTTTGCGGTGAGTCGTGACAAGAGTGCTTACTTGCTCATACCGACCAATCCGTTGTTGGCAGCGACCATCAACAGACAGTAGTTGGGCTCACTAGACAGCAGGCCAAATACGGTAGTGCGCAAGTATCTCTCGTGTCCTGCCAGATCTGTAAAACTGATGACTTTGGCCTATTTTTGTTAAATCATGCCCCAATAAGCTCAGTGCGACACAGCTTACAGCACGTCGTCCAATCTCCTCCCAAGTAAGTTTGCGACCTGCAACATTCGAAACAACCACCTCGCTTTTGCTGTCGAAGCCCATGATCTCCATTCCAACAGAGCTAGTTCGTCCACTCTCAATTTCGTGCTTGTGTCGAAAAAGGTTGACACGCGCTTTACCACGACCATCGTCGAGCCCACCCTTGACAAGCACACCCAGCATAGTGCTTTTACCTGCATCGACTGCTATCATCAGTACAGAGTTCAAGTAAACTGACGCCCACACGTACCATTTCCTACGACTGCTATCCTCGTCTCAATCACATCATCAACATTCTCGGGCCGTTTCCGCAAGATCAACTTTCCACTGGCTCCTGTGTCCTTTGCGTCGCGAGGTCCGACGTCAACAGGGCCTCCAACATTTCTTGTCATCAGAAGTTTGTAGTCGGCCTTGAGCAGCTCGCAGATTATGCCTATCCTCTCCATTGCAAAATCCCAGTTCTCTTTTGTGAAAGCCATGGATTCACCGCTATCTTCCAGTCCAACGTCGAACAGCACTTCGCCATGGCCCTCTGCCAGGCGCTCCTTGACATGCTCGGCGAGCGCGGGCACGTTCTCTTCGGCGGGATCGGTCAGAAGCGTCTTCAGGCGGACATGGGACTTGGTGTCGTCGGAGAGACCAAGCTCGTCCAATATGCTCAGCTCATCGTGATCTTCGAGGACGGCGGGGGTTTGGCCTGGTGGGCGTCGCAGTGCCTGTTGCTTCTGCACATAGTCGGCAAAATCACTCAATGCCTGAACATATCAGCAATCCATGCAAGGTACTCAGTGGTTCCCTGGCTGTCCAGCTTACGGATTCTCCCTTGCGCCGCTCTAACGGCGTCTGCTTGGGCGCATGTCGTGAGGTCATGGTGGTGTGAAAGGTGTGTTCAAGCGGTGTCCCTGCCGAATCTTCCGTCAAGTTCGCCGTATTAATATAACGTGTGATATTCGTGGTATTCGTGTGAGGGGTGAATGTTCCATGGAATGCCGTGCAGCGATCATTGATGAGTGGCGGCGGTGATTGCTGTTCAGTGCGTTGGAGCGATACGATGGCAAGAGGTCTCGGTTCCCAGCTGGAATCTGGGGTACTTGAGCTATCGATAGCGGACGGCCGGAGTCACACCGGATGCTTCATGACGTGAACACCGGCCAGCTGCCAGCGCCCTCTGTTGACTCACGACACGAATACGCTACTCACAATCACCGCCGTTGGTACGCCATCGAACGATTAGGCACCCCCTTTGTTCGTATTCGCGGGGCGGGTGCTGTGCATACCGCCCTTCATCACAACACGGCTGCCTGTGCGATCACACGTCGACTCATGACCAGACAATGATCGCCGTGTGCCGCATTTTGGGTTGTTGAGTCACTGAACAGTGTTGGTTTGAAGGAGTTGCTGCTAAATGCAATTGAATGCGCCCAAATAATCTAGACGAGACTATAACAAGCAAAGGCTTTTCAAAAGAACTACTACGACCAACTCACGAGCCATTTACATTACGTTCACTGCAGTACTTCTCAACCTCCTTTCTTAGCTGCTCCCGTTGGGTTATGACATTTTCCATTATTTCGCTTACACCATTCACTCCTTCGCAATGCGGCCCGGTCTCTGTCATTTGCTCAAGGACAGCGGTAAGTTGATTTGGCAACCACTGTAACCACGTTAGCAAGAGCTGAAGCACAAGTTACGCTACAATGTACTTACTGTGACAATCGGGCTTCCTCCAGTCGCAGTAGGGTGCGAAGTGTGCTTGAGGATGTACTCGCGAGTAAAGCACCAGTGCCTCCACCGGAAATCCCTCACTTGATCAAGAGCTTGGAGGTATAGAGCAGCAGACATTCGATCGCCCATTGCGAACTTACGGACACCAGCCTGCTGAGCAGTGTCACGGACTGCCTCGAGAAAATCCCGGTGATTTCCAGGACGGTACTGGCGGAAGTCCTTCAGGATGTCTGTGAGTGGCGTCTCTGGCATAGAAATCTGAAGCAGATTGTCGCACATGGGGACCATGCTATCGTTTGCGCCGGACTCTCCGCGGAATGACAGTGGTTCCTCGCTTACGCCTTCGTAGATGACGCCGTTGGGGAACATGGACTGAGATGTGATGCCGAAGATGAAAGTACGGAAGCTGGTGTAGCCTGATGGTTTGCTGCGCTTCCACATTGCTGGCACCAATGTCAGTGGATGACCATCTGAGCCAGGATCATGTTGAAAGACATGAAAGGGCTGAAGTGTGGTGCGAGAGACCGTAGAGGGTAATAGAAGTCTTAGGATCTTGTCAAAGAGAAGACTTACTGTTCATGACTTCGTTGACCTTGGTCATACCACCGACTAATGTGCGCAGACCGTCATCGAATCGTTCCCGGTCCTCGCCTATGCAACCCTCCAATGTCTCGACAGCACCTTTGATCAACGCGCCAGATTCCTTGACCATGGCAATATGCACAAGTACAAAGCCAGCCTCTGACGAAGTGGGATCAAGTCCACATTCAAAAGCACGGATCAAACGAAGGTTATCATACTCGAGTCCCTTGGAAGCATCTTCAAATCGGTAGTTGAAGAGAGCATACGAGCCAGCATACTCCATAAAAGGCTTGAAGCCAGCACTGTTGTGTGTCACATGATCAGCACGTGCCCATGCAGATGTTTAGCTTTGGAGTGATGATGGGGCCTAAGACTGAAGGGTTCAAAGGACTTACAGCTCAGCAACCTTGACAATAGGCAACGCAATACACCTCGGCAAACTTTGCCTACCCAAGCCATACTCCTCTCCCCTCATGAACCTCTCATGACACGGTTCAAACAAGTACGCCGATGCCAAGAAGGAATAGTCACGATACAGGGCGTTCATCACCACAAGGTCATCCTTGTACTTCTCTACCTCTGCACTGAGGTCAGGGAGCTCCTTCAACAACGTCTCCCCGAAGGTGAAGTTCGAAAGAAGCCCAGGTTCGCCTGACAATGTCTTGATGGGCATGCGTTGGAGGAGGGATTCCGCAGCAGCAAACTCCTTGGGCAGTGTAACGATAGGGTCTTGACGGGGGAGAAAGCCACGTGTAGTCGAGACCATGAAGGCAGGTAGGGAGTGGTCAGTGGGCTTGGTGTCGCTAAGGACAGGGAAGTCAAAGGACTTGGAGATCATGGTTGCGATATCGAATGTCGATATGATATGGCAAAAGAAAGAAGGAGAGAAAGAAAGGGTATAGGAAAGTACAAAGCAACCAAAAAGGCCAAGAGACTTGGTTGTTTATCGAGGAGGTGGGCAGAGTGTCGAATACCTTTTTGGGTGGTGGTTGGGAATCAAAGAACTTTGTCCAGCAGCGACTCAACTCGCGTTTATATCTCGAGGCCGGAACACAACCGGCCAGGCCGGAATTCAAACCGTGAGTACAGATAAGGCGTACGTAATGGCTAAAACAGCTGTCCATTCTGCTGGATGAAGGTCCCATGAAGATTCGAGGGGCTTGCATCGGACCCCCAGGGTCATTCCCGGTAGTCCCATGAAATTTGAGATGGTTGTGCTCGTCGACGCCAAGACTCACGATGGAGAGGGTGAGTCGCAATGATGGTCACTTTTTCCGAAAACCCTATACACCTTAGGTTGTTTTGGGGTTTGTTTGTCTTTCAGCCATTGTTTTCACGATTTACTGGTTTTGGGAATGGAGAATGATCAGGCACACATTCGAAATCTAACACTGACGATTTGAACGCACACCCAGCTACACCAGCTACACCACATCACCACCAGTAACTATTCAGCGAAGTCGCTTTTGCCTTTCAAAACGATTGAAAAAATCGAATTGACAAATACAACCTCATCCTATGGCTACATACTAACACCCTCCACGCCTACCTACCGACATACTCGCACCGACTTTCCTTCCAGCTTACAGAGGGCGCAGTTCATATGACCATAGAATTAGCGCTGCGTGAACTCGTATTTAGCATAGGGTTAGGCCGTGCCAAGCTCTACTAGCTAGCTAAGCGAGGTTAACTAAATATTATACTATAAGATTTTGTAACACGTTCTAAACCTATTCTAAATATATTCTATACTAGTAATACTATAAGCTACTACTACTATACCTATTACTAATATATCCCTTATATCCTATATAAGTAGATTAAAATATATTTAGAATATATTCTTAATAGGTTATAGAAGCACTATTAATAGTACTTTACTCTTAGCTATATCCTAGATAATATTAGGGTATAGCCTATAGTTAGCCCTAATAGGGTAGTTAAGATAGAGAGTAGAGAGCACTACTACTATACTAAGATTAATAATAAGGGCACCTTATATAAAGTAAGAATAAGTTCTAAATATATTCTAAATAGGTTCTAATATTCTTAGGCTATTCTAGGTACTAGGGGCACTCTATATACCTATGCTAAAAAAGATTATAGGCTTAATATAGCCTACTATAAGGTTAGTAGAGTTAAGAAGACTAGCTAGCCCTCTATAATAGAGGTCTATAAGGTAAAGAGTAAATATATTATTAACCTATTCTTAACTTATTATACTAATATATATAGACTTCTATATAAAGGTTATATATAATTACTAGAATACTCCTTACTATAAGTTATTTAGAATATATTTAAAACTTATTACTAATATATTTTATAGAAGTTCTCTAAGCCTAGCTAGTAGCTACTATAGGCCCCCTAGTAAATACTAATACCCTTCTAAATATAATTTAGAAGAAGACTTACACTAGCTATAATAATAATAAGGTATAGCCTATAAGAACCTATTAAAAATATATTACTAACTTATTATAGCTTAACTTTATTACTATATCTACCCTACTAAGGATTTAAGGTTATTAGGTTCCTTATACTATCTATACTTATAATTATCCTAGCTATAGTAAGTTATTTATAATATATTATTAACCTATTCTTAACGTATTTTAAGACTATTACTTTAATACTAGTATAGACCTTGCTAATTCCTGCTAGAATACTACCTAGTTCTACTTATAGTATGCTTTTATAGAGCCTAGGGAGGATAGGGAGGATAGAGAAGATACTAGAGAGGGGGAGAGAGATAATAATAGTAATAAGTAGGAACATATTAAGAATATATTAAGAATAGGTTCTAATAAATAATATATAATAGTATATAACCTAAAGGGGTAATAGTAATTACTAAAATAAACTCTCTACTCTTCTCTTTTTTTTCTATCTACTAAAAGTAAAGTACTATTTACTTTTATAGGGTCCTTTAATACTATATAACTTTTTCTTTTTACTTTTATAGGTATTATAAAGCTCTAGTAGTCTCTTAGATTAAAGAAGAATCTAGTATTTATAGGTGTCTAGCTATAATATATTATTAATATATTCTAAATATATTTTAAGAGACTAGACTTATATCTCCTTTTTACTACTTTTACTAAATATTATTTATAGTATAAAGGGGAGCAACTATTTACTCCTCTTCTTTACTCTCTACTTCCTCTTTAGCCTCTACTCTAGCTACTACTTCTTATTATAGACTAGCTATCTTAGAGGGTTCTTAAACCTTAGAGGAGGCACTTAGTATAGTCTACTCTACTAGTAGAGAATGTATTATTAACGTGTTTAGAATATATTCTTAAGCATTTACTATTAAGCTCCTATAGAAGATCCTTACTTCTATAATACCTTATATTGTGGTTCTGCTATAGTTTACTAGGGCTATTTAAACCTTAGGATAATACCTCTTAAGGTAGTAGATAAGATTACCTCTATTAGAGAAGTAATACTAAAATAGTTATTAATATATTATAAACGTATTCTAACTTATATATATATATACTCTATAAAGTTCCTATACCCCTAATCTAGCCTAAATAGCCTAGTAGAAAAGCTTGCTAGGAAATACTATACACCTATTATTTAGGTAGGATATTATAGGAGAGAATACCCTAGTATTAGATAGAAGTAACTTAAGCTTAATATATTACTAGTATAAATCCTACTTAGTATTAGAATAAGTTTATAATATATTCCTAATATATTCTATTATATACTAACTTTAAAAGATCTTTATAGACTATATTAACTAGTTATATCTAATAATATTAGAAAAGATAGATAGTAAAATAGTATTAAACTCTTAAATATAAAAAGTTCTTATAGAGTATAAGAAGAAAGAAGAAGAAAGAGAAGAAGAAAGAATATATATTTATCTACTTATATATACTTATATAATAGACTAGAATATATTAAAAACTAGTTAGGAACTAGTTACTATATTTATAGACTAACCCTACCTTATATAAAAAGTAGCTATCTCTTTCTTAAGTTTAAACTATACCTTTTGCAATTTAAATAGTGCCTTTTTCTATATAAGTTCTTCCTTATCTACCTCTAGCTTTTCTTTTCTCTCCTTTAGAGCCTAATTACTAAGAAGAGCCTTTTATTATAAAGTTTATAGTTATAGACTAATAATAAGTTAGGAATGTGTTATAAACGTGTTTTATAAAGCATACCTTTAGGTTACTATTAGTAGAGGAGAAGAGCCTAGTAGTAGAGAAGATAGAAAAGGGGCTAGTAAACTTCTTTCTAATACTACTCTACTACTTGCCCTCTAGCTTTAGGCTTTTAAGCATACTCTTTTATTTCTTATTAGGACTAAGATATATCTAGTTAAGTTAGATATAGCAAGACTTGCTTTATTATTATTTAGAGTATTATTATTATTATAGGACGTATTCTAAATATATTCTAAATATGTTTTAATTAGTAAATATATATAACACTAGCGTAAGACTTACTTTCTCCCCTCTAAAGCTTTTTAAGGTACCTTTACTTAAGCCTATTAAGAGTTCTATAGTTATAGCGTATTCTAAACTTACTCTAGGCTTTAAACTCTTTTATATCCTATAGATCTATCTAGTGTGCACTATATAATATTACTTATATAATTCTAACAGGTTAAGAATAGGTTATAAACTTACTTCTAAGTAGCCTTAAGAATACTTATATACTTACTAGTTTTATATCCTTTCTAGCCTGCTTGCTTAGCTATATTTAAATAAGATTCTAGTTTTTCCTATACCTCTTTTAATATTTTACTATAGTATTGCATAATCCTAGTAGTAATTACTAGGTTTTTCTTATAGATTGCCTAGTTTTAGGTATCTTTAGAGGGTTTGTGTTCTAATTATATAAGAATAAGTTAGGAACATATTTAGAATAGGTTTAGAATATATTTACTTATATAAGAGGAGGTTAGCAAGCTAAAAGTATTCCTCTACTATTAATACCTATAGTAATTCACTTAGACATAAAGAGGTAGTATTATCTAGCTCTCTTTTATATACTTTGTAAATACTTCTTTATAGATATACTTAATAAAATCTTATATAAGATTAAAGTTACTAGCGCTAGTTACGCTTATAGGGATTAATTAACTAGAGATAGCGCCTAAGTCCTAGAAACAAGTTAGAAACATGTTATAAATAGGTTATAGTGCGCTGTAAAACTTGCCTATTATTTACTTATTATATATATTAATAGTAGTCCTATAGAATCCCTATAAGTAAATATACCTCTATAACACTTATCTTTTTATAAGTGCTTTATACTTCTAAAAGAAGTTAGTAATAGTAACTTAATATATCTTAGTTATATCCTTATCTATAATAATTTAGCTAAGTATAATAACTATAACGTGTTAGAAATATATTATAAACCTATTCTTAATACGTACGCTTCTTTTCCTATAGGTAGAAGATTACTATTAGAATCTCTGCCTATACCTTATATAACCTCTTATATAATATATCTATCTAGAATATATCTTAATCTAATAGAATTAATACCTGCTCTTTAAAAAAGTAAATAATTAAGTTACCTAAGCTTAATATAAAGATTTGCTATATATACGCCTATAGTAACGTGTTAGTAATATATTCTAAACCTATTCTCTTATACTATGTATAGTTTTAGGATCCTAATACTTTATCCTCTACTTATAGTATACTCCTCTAAGGCTACTCTTAAATAGGAACTATAGAAGCTTTTTACGCTTTATAATATGTAAGATTTTATCTTTATTTATAAAGCTAATATATATTTCTTTAATAGAATAGAAACCTTTAAGTTAGAGATAGGTTTAGAGCTAGGTTAAGTTTAGGAACTAGGCTATAATAAGTTAGGAATATATTTATAATAGGTTATAAATAACTTATATTATATAAGCTATAGAGTAAGTATAGGCTACAACACCTTTACTACTTCCTTAATATTACTATTAGATAGTATTAAGGGAGGAGGAGGTATATATATATATATACTAAAAGAAATAATAGTAAAAAAAGGTATTACTACTATATCTATTAGTATAATTACTTAGAAGGTAACTTTATATAGGATTTTAAATAGAGATCCTTACCCTTATAGATAATTAACGCCTAGAATATGTTAGGAACGTGTTAGGAATAGGTTGTAATATGCCTACTACACTTCTTTATCTAGCTTAACTATAGCTTAACTATAGAATATAAAGCAGGACTACTAGAAAGATTTAATATCTCCCTAGTTAGAAGACCTTATAGATATATAGAGTCTACCTCTAGTAGTACCTAACTAAAATAATATTTTTTCCTAGTAGCAGATATTAGGCTGTAGTTCTAATAGCTAATATATAGTTAAGCCTGTTCTATAATTTGCTAACTTATTATTAACACGTTTTAAACATGTTTAAGTTTTGCTCCCTACCTAATTTACTATAGTCCTTATTATAGGATAATAAGACACCTAGTAGTCCTTATAAATCTTTAAAGAGAAGCGCTTAATAAGGCTATAATAATAGCTTCTTATTTATAGTTCTCTTTATAGAATTTTCTTAGGTACTACACTTTTTAAGGTTTAGATCTAATTATATAATGTGTTATTAATAACGTAATAAGAATACGTTTATAACGTGTTCTTAAGATACTTACACGCTTTTACCCTAGAGTATTAGTATTTATACTAGCTTGCTAGCTAGCTATTAAAGAATAGTGAAGTTATAGGCCTGTTAAGATAGATAGACTAGCAGGAGTATTGTACCTGCTAGAATTAGAATAATTTAAGAACGTGTTCTTAACGTGTTACCTGTGTAGCCTGCACAAGCACCTCTTCTCTTATTAGGTAAGAGCTATCTTTATATTGCTAAACTAGTATTATATACTTATACCCTTAGCTATATAATTAAGGGTATACTAGGAGAATAGCTGCATACTTAATAATTACTAGTGTAAGTAGTAGTCCTTAACTATTACTATAAGTAAGGTATATATTATACCCCTATAACGTGTTACTAACCTATTCTAAACTTATTCTATTTACTTTTACTTACTTCCTTAACGCTACTACTACTATCCTCCTCTAGTACTTTATATAGTTGCCTAAATTTATCTCTAATATTACTATCTAGTTTAGATATATTATTTAGTACTACTATACTAAACTCTAGTATAGTATTTAGGAACGCCTATATATTATTAAGAATAGGTTTAGAATATATTTAAAAAAGATAGTAATAAAAACTACGTTTACTTGCTTAAATTACCCTAATTTATACTTAACTATAGGCTAGTTTATATAACTATAAAAATTTGCCGCTATAACGTGGACTTGAACCTACAGGGATATTCTAACCACTCGGAGTAAAGCCCAAGTCGCCCAACGCTAAACCCATGGTCATATGACATGCCACCACCAGCTTACACCCCCATTTCACCGCCATGACCATAAATCCCCCCTGCATTATCTGAAGTGACCACACATACCAACTCTGACTGAAATACCTCTAGGTAGGTAGTGTACCCACTCCCCACCGCACGCCCTACAGACTTACTAACCAAGGCATTCGGTCCGAACGCAGGGCGGAGCCTCGCGCCGACCACCAACCAAATCACCACCAGTACTTTTCGCATCAGCTACATGCGAAGAGCAGAGCTTTAGGGATGCGGAGGGATACAGTATGGGTTGGAGGCACAGTATGTGGTTTTTTCTTGTTTCACGCTTGTTGATCCTGCTGCGGTTCTCTTACCTCCAGTGTGGATTTGCCTTTTTGGGGACGAGCGGAGCGGAGCGGAGAATTTACTGTGGTAGTTAGAGGCTGCGCGGAGTTGGAGGTCAGGACGAATCAGCGTGGAGATGATGAGTGGATGGGCACGTGAAAGGCGTGTTTGGGCGTTTGGCCGCGCTTAGTTAGCCGAGAGAGGGGAGGGGGAGCTACTGTGGTGGGGGTGGAAGAGCCTCATGGGTTGCTATTGGAATTACATGTGGTTGTTCTTGTGCGTTGTAATGGGGTTTACGTTTTTGGCTTTGTTATCATTGAGTGGGTTTGGTGGTAGATGATGTCTTGGTAGGGTTGATGGGGCTGACTGTGTATGTGCGGTGGTTGTGTTGTGTTGGACAGTCGGCGACAGTTGCGTGTGCAGCAAGATGACGGCAGATTTTGTACCTGGTGGTGTACTGAAATCCCATTAATTGCGCGCAGTTGGCTTCGAAACATGTGTCTCAACACATTGGTCACGAAGCTGCTGAGGACATGGTTGGCAATTACCAGTACTGTGCTGACCGAAGATGTTTGCGGTAAGCAATAGCTCTGGAACTTGTCAAGCATAATCCAGCTTAAGAGTCACTAAATACACATCTTCAAGCACAAGTCCAGCCACCTGTATACGAGTTAAGTTAGTTGATTGGTGGTAAGGCTATAATTCGGGAGTGCAAGACAACCTTCGAAGATTGAGTCCACCTACATGTCTCCTTCCCTTGGCCATGACGCACCCCACCTCCAACATCCAGAAGCTTGCAAACAGCCTTAAAAGCAACACTGTAGTGAAAAGACTTCGATCATCCCCCCCTCTTCGAATACTACGATGGCTACAGCGGTCGGGGGCACCACGCTCTACCCAAAAATCTCCAATCACATCAGCGACGTCATCGAAGCATTACAACATCTCAAAGGCGACCTAGAACACGAAGAGACGGATGATCATCGCGAACCGATACCAATCACAGGAACTGTAAAACTTCATGGTACACATGCAGATATCCTAATCTATAGCAATGACGAAATCGTGTTTCAATCGCGAAATGTGACACGCTTGTCAGCTCTGAAAGATAATTATGGTTTTGCCGCAACGATGTCAACAAAGACAAAAGCTCTTTTGCAGCTTCGCGATATGTACAAGACACATTGGCTACAGATCAATCCAGGTGACTTTTTTGACGAAAATTTCCCAGTTATCGTAGCAGGCGAGTGGATTGGAGAAAAGATTGAGAAGGGTGTGGCCATATCGCAGCTCTCCAGACGCTTCGTCGTGATTTCCGTCAATATCAACGGCAAATGGCAACGAGATCAAGATTATGGCAGCATCAGCTTACCGCTTCACGACATCTATAACGTTGCTCGCGCTGGCTTCTATACCGCAACATTATACCCTAACGACACACAACGTACTCTTCTCGAAGTCGAGTCCATGGCCGAGGAAGTGGCTTGTACCTGCCCATTTGCTGAGACATTCGGTATTAAAGGTAAAGGAGAAGGTATCGTTTGGAAGCCTACATCTGCCGAGTACAACCCCAATCCTACGCTGTGGTTCAAGACCAAGGGTGGGGCATTCAAACCTAAGTTAGCACAGCCACCGAAGAAGACTTGGACTTTTGATATCGCAGGGGAAAGGCGCGATGCTACAGCGTATGTTGCTCGTGTTTGGTGCTCTGTGCAACGACTGGAGCAAGGCTGGGATTTCCTACGAGAAACGGATAGGGAACGGAATATGTCAACACTCGATGATTATGTCAAGTGGGTACATGAGGATATCTTGACTGAAGAGAAGGTATATATTCGAAAGCACAAGCTCGAGAGGAACGACTTGAAGGTTGAGATTGCCAAGATCGCAAAGCCGTGGTATCTGGCCAAGGTGAAAGGAAGCAGCGTGTGAATTTCAGGCGCCTGCACTGTTGTCAAACAACCCGTTTTGTGACCGCTTAACCAGCTGACTTCAGGTAGAAGTATAAGGAGCAGTGATTACACAGGTGCACAATGGCTGAGGACACACCCACTGACACTCTCCCTCACCACTACGTCTTATTACATAGACTTTACCACCTCCCCTTTCTCTTCTCAGCACACAACTCAACTGGTAATACTCTTGAAACAACACGATCACCATGCGACCCTCATTTCACAAGCTTTCCACTTTCCTTGGACGAGCCGTTCCGCTTGACACTGAGCTGCCCGAGGAATCAGAATGTCCGGTGTGCTGGCGTTCTTACAACAATCTCGACGACGTCTCCGATCCGGAAGACCCTTGCATTCCCCTTAAACAATCTCAATGCAACCATATAATCGGCAGTTCATGCTACTACAATATTCTCGACCGCGGTCAATCTCACTGCCCATTTTGTTTCCGCGAAGTCAAGACCCCGATTCCACGCTGGCTGGCCTTCCTCTTCCGGGAATTTGACGATGACGACGACCGACATGGTTATCCCTGGCCATTTCACATCATTTTGTTGCCCCCTGGCGAGCTCGGCAATTTCGCAGATCTCGGAATCAATGCCAGCGGGCGACGGTTTCGAAACGGTGTTAGACGGCAGCTCTGTGACCTATTTGAAAGTATATTGGATATCTTGAGTGCCATACGGCTGTGGTGGACCTACATGTATTTTACAGTGTCTCCCACGATCATCATTATGGTGTTTGCTTACAGTTTGATTAGCCACTACGTGGGCGATTTCGTCGAGTACCAGCTGTGGTACATAATCTTCAGCCGATTCGACACCACACTGGCAATGCTTTCACCCACTGCTCGCATTATCCCAGACATCACCTACGCACTTTTGGTCTCGTCGGTATACTTCAAAGCGCTTCCTGATCCATTCACAACCAACCGTTTCCCATGGAAGTTGTTCCTTGAGAGCTTTACGATTTTCGCTTGGAGCCGCATCATCCCATCGTGGGTTCTTGCGATTATCATGTTGGCAGACACGCTTTTGTTTGCAATACTCTTAGGACTGCTGATTGGTATGGGGATGTGGTACGGGGATTTGTCCCGCCGGAGGCTGAGGAAGAGGTGGCCGATTAATTGCAGGACGTTGATGGAGCAGGATCAGACACATGATGGTGGCATCATGAGCATATCCATGAAATCAAGTTGGCGTTGATGAGGAATATCAAGAGAAGGTACGTAGTGAGAGCCGAAGGGGCATGTATGAGCGGACTCAGAGGCGAAGAATCCATTGACAGAGAGACTGTATAGAGTTGAGATGTATATTTATTTTTGCCCAGGGCATAGATCGAGGCCCGCTGAGTTAGAGATGGAGAGCCTGTTCGTGAGTTTGTCCTTGGCAAAGGGTGACTTCGCATAGAGCGTTCACATCATAGAAGGCCTTGTTTAGAATTCAGAATTACCTGTACAGCAAAATTCAGGAGTGGCGTGCATCATGTGATTATTCAACAATTTCTCCATCGCTGAAGGCGAGCATATGAACCAAGAACGTAAATTCAAAGTATCCCTGATGATAATCCTTCCCAACAGCTGAACATACATGCTATCTTCTCGCCGTGGTTTCCAAAAGATCACTAGTATCGCGCTGCAGCTACCCCTCCCACAAGGTAGCAGAGAAATTATGTACCGGAGCCATTACCTACTCGGCCCTTGTGACGCTCTTACAGCATCCGCACAAACCCAAGAATACTCCCAAGCCATTCATACATGATCAACTTCGCCATACAAGGATCCATCACCATACTAATGGCCCCCACCCCTTCTCAACCCACTAACCCCCAACGAGCGAAAATCAGCGAGGAAGACATAAAGAAACAAGTACACCGTGGATTATTTCCCGCATCATCCAGAGTACGATAGCTCTCGGCCATGAACAAGGCTTGCGAGGAAGTCTAGCCATGACGACTAAACTGTACAGAGCGAAAATTTGCGAGATGGGGTTAGAAAATAACACAGGGTTCTGAAGATGGAAGCATTGTGTGCACCGAGGTTGGGGACGGGGTTGTGCGTGTACTTATAGCTGTGGAAGTGACCGTGTTATAAGTGGATGTATCAGCTTTAGATACCATCGTCTCCAATTCACTTTACCTTAGCCTGCCGGCAAATCACAGGGTTTGGGCATCGATGCAGGTACAGACACGGATTAGACCCCGCACATTCCCCGCGGTTCATTCCTCACCTGCGCCACAGCACCCCACGTTCCCACCCCAGACGAGCTTGTTCCAAACAAGCAACGGCGTGTCCCCCTTCCCCGCGGCATTTCATCATACAAGAAAGACGCGCTCCGCCTCGCCTTGTCTGGTTTTCTAGCGATTCTTTCACATTTGAGGAATACCTACCTTACGACGAACGAGCATTCTACGACTTTCGGTTTCAATTCAGTGCCGATGCTGTGCGCGCCTGGCATCTTTGACATCTGAGATATATGAAACCGATTTCCCGGAGCCTGTGTGCACGCAACTTCAAATTGTGAAAAGCAGAAGACTACCGCAGGAGAAGAAAGCATGGCATCGCGCAAACGCTCCCGTTTCCTTTCACTGTTACCCGGTGTTCATTGGACACCCACCGATATCTCTCCTCGGTCCACAAACCAACCTCGCTCGCCCTCTCAATTGACAAAAACAAATCAAAAACAAACATCTCGCGTTTCGTGCTTTGTACGCGCCCATGATGCCACGACCGATGCCTCTTCTTCCTCTACATCCAAACCCACCCATCACACCCCTCGCCCTCGAAAACCAACCCTCCGTCTTCCCTCCAAGCCCACCGCCCGCGCTCCCACCCCCACACATGCCCAAGCTCAGAGCCCGTTGTTTGCAAAATTGCCGCTGGAGCTGAGGCGGATGGTGTACGAGTACGTTGTTGGAGCTCCGACTGTGCATTTGACGTTGGGGCCGCGAAAGAGATTTGGGCATTTCATCTGTGAGGATAGGAGGGGGCAGGGTGTGGGAGGGGAAGAGCAGGGAAGGAGGGAGGGGAGGGAGTGTACGTGTCGGGTCTTGGTCGGGGGAAGGAAATGTGAGAGATTGGATCCCGCGGCGTTTAATTTGTTGTTGGTTTGTCGGAGAATGTACGTCTCTCTCTCTCTCTCTCTCTCTCACTTTGCCTCCCCCCCTCCGAAAAAAACAACAACCAACAACCAACTAATCCCACCC